CTTCTCAGGTGGGAGCCCCACGGCGGCCTCTTGCCTGTGTGTGGCCAATCTGACCGTGCTTGCTGGAGAGCGGAGATGTATGTGCTAGGGCGCCGCATCCCCCGATACAGAGGAACTTAGAGAACGCCAGTTATTACAATAACCCTTATGATAACTAACACCAATTCGACGCAGAAATCTTTTAAATATCATAAGCCTCGTCGTTTTATTCCACATGGTTTTCTAGGTAACCAAATTCCAGGAGGTGCGTTACAGGGCCATCCACGCCTCCCGGCCATGCCCAGCGAAAAGGTGTTCTCTCAACGTTGCTGACGCCTGATTTCAACCACCAGGACACTGTGGACCTCGACTGCGGTCCCCAGCAGGGCCCGTCCGCCCTCACTCCACCCTCTGAGGCTGCGGCGGAGTCGACGGGCCGCCGCTGAGACCTTCGCCTTCCCGGCGGAGCAAGGCCCCGGAAGCCGCAGCTCTTAAATAACCGGGATGCTGTCAGGGCGGGCGACTCCCGGGAGGGCGGGACCAGGGCGGAGGCCGCGCCGGGGCTCGGCGTGCGGCGCGCCCGGCCTGTCCCTGTACCGCAGTGCCGTGCGGTTCGTCAAGGGGCTGCGCGAGTACACCAAGTAAGGCGGCGCGGCGGGGCGGGGGGTGTGTCCCGGGCTGTCACGTGGCCCGCCTCGGCGGGGGCGAGCGGCGTTGCCGCGAACGCGCCCGCGGCCCCTTCACCCTCTCGCTTGACCGACTAAGCGAGCTCCGAACTACTGGGGCGCCCGCCATCTAGCGGCCCGCGGCTGGACGTGGGGCGGTGGTCAGCGTGCAGCCCCTCCGCGCTCGCGACCGGGACTGGAGCCCGAGCGGCGGGACTGTGGCGCGCCCAGGCCCGGGCCCGTCCCACTGACGTCAGGCGGCCCCGGCGCCTCCGAGCCTCCTGGGCGTCACCTCGGCGCCCCGCGGGGTGTGCTTCGGCTAGTGTCTTCGCGGTGCTGCTGGCGGCGTCAGATAGGGCTAGATCTAAATCGCTAGCCAAGGCTTTCTCTTAGCAGCTTCTTCCTCTAAGAAGATGCGGCACCTGGACTGCGACCTCTGGCTCCAGCTGGCACTTTCCAGCCTGGGTCCCCAGCCAGGGTGGCTGTGCACCCAGTGTGTGCTACTGGGTGACGGTGCATGGTGGTTTCGCCGCCCCGTGACCACGCTCAGTGAGCCCTACTTGGCTCTCCACCTCATTGTGGTTTTTAGAGGTAACAGGTTCCTGTGACCGAGGCAAGATGGAGGTTTTATCTTAGAATTGGTTAGGCTAACCAGTGGTTCTCAACCCTGTCAGCTCATCAGAATCACGGGAGGATTAAACGTACCAGTTTTCTGAGCTAGAGAGATTCTGAGATTACGATTCAGTGGGTCTGCACAGGGGCCGGGACTGGCATTTCATCCAAATCCCCCAGGTGATTCTCATCTCAGAGGCTTCTCCCTGCATTGGGGCTTTTTCGGTTCCCACGGCAACCTGGCCAGCACTCCTAGGGGAGGTAGGAATTGCAACTCCCTTCTCTTCACCCCACATCGTTTTGGGAAAAGTTCAGCTCTGCCCCTGGAGCCCCTGCTGCGGAGAATGCTGGGAAAGTGTAGCCCTGTGCCCTGTCCCACTGCTTTTCGGAGAATACAGTGTCGGCCTTTTTCTTTCAAAGGGGTGTCCTCTGGCAATGACCATTCATTGATGGATCTTTCCACATGACACAGTATGAAAGCTTGAGTCCGTTTCCAACCCGGGGTGGGCCCCAGGGAAGGCAGGCTCTAAAAATCTCTCCCAGGACTCTTTCGCTCTGATTTCCCCACCTTGAGGGAGGGAAAGTAGAAGTGAGGCCAAGGGGCCCAATCCAACACCAATTGTGGGGGCGGGGAGGGGAAGGCAGTTGGCAAACTTAGGTGGGTTTTCCCGCTGTTGTGGATTTAGTGACTGGGAGAGAAAAACAACGTTATTTTGACTTCAGAGTGAGAGCGAGGAGTTAGGGTTTGCAGCGTTTCTCTTGGCACAAGGATTTTTATAAAGCTTCCCTATTTTGGGCTTCTAGGCAGCAGGATTTAATCATTGTTTCCTAAACTTTGCTGAACCTAATAATTCCCTGGGGCAATTGTAAACAGACTTCTAAACCCTGGGCAAGTATAGATGGGTCCTAAGCAAATTCCATATTTGGGTAAATTGAGGGGGCAGGAGACACGGATACTTGTGAGCTTTCCCCTCCCCGTCCCTGTCCCCTCAGGTTCAGGAAACAGTAAGTACAGACGTCCTCTCGAAGTTTGAATCAAAATCCCCTGCAAGGCACATGCAACCACAGGTTGCCGAGCAAGCACTTCTGAGTCTGCGGGCAAGGCATCTCCAACAGGTTTCCAGGTGATGCTGATGCAGCGTGTCTGGGCGCCGCCCTTTGGCACCGAGGCTGGGTGTTGAAGAATGGAACACCCAGCCTTTGGCCTGATCTACTACTTTCTGGTGACCTTGGGAAAATCATGTCTCTCTGTGTTTGAAGAATAGAGACTGTTATCTAGAGTTTGTGAAAATAAAATGCTTCCCAATAAGGGGCAGAGTACATAAAAGACAAATCTTACCACTAACAACAGATTGGACCAGAATGAATTCTTGTATAGAAGGCAAGATACCCGGTAGAGGGCAGGGGCATGTCCTGCAGCCCAGGCCGGCACTGCCCACTTGGCAGCACTCCCAGCATGCTGTTTGAGGAAGAGGTTTAACCCAGAGGAGCCACCCTCAGCAAACATATGGATCAGTGTGGAGCCCAGAGGCTAATGTCCCCTCTGGCTGGGTGTCACAGAAAAGCCTGTCAGCTTCCTGCCCCTGGAGAAGGGCTCTTAAAGCCTATTCCCTGTGGACAGCTTTTTCTCTGGCTCTATTGTATTTGGGAAGTTCTCACTCTTTCCCCACAATGCCTCCTCCTAGCTAAGCCCCTATTTATTGACTCAGGCCCTTGCCTCTACCGGAAAAGCCTTTCACAGAGATTCCAGGGCTCACCTCTGTGTATAAGGGGGGACAACTTTCAGTTCCTTCTGTTTGTAGTTTAAAATGCTCAAAGTCCCTACTGATTTGAAGGCTTGGGGGCCAAATGAGTACAAGTTTGAACATGGAAGCTACTGTCATTATTAATAGGAATAATAATGTTGACCAGGTGCAGTGGCTCATGCCTGTAATCTCAGCACTTTGGGAGGTCAAGGAAGGCAGATCACCTGAGGTCAGGTGTTCGAAACCAGCCTGGCCAACATGGTGAAACCCTGTCTCTATTAAAAATACAAAAATTAGCCGAGTGTGATGGTGGGTGCTTGTAATCCCAGCTACTGAGGAGGCTGAGGCAGGAGAATCACTTGAACCCGGGAGGCAGAGGTTGCAGTGAGCTGGAGCTGCACTCCAGCCTAGGTGACAGAGAGAGACTCCGTCTAAATAATAACAATAATGTCAACTGCTAATTATTGAGCTCCTAATATGTTCCAAGTAGTGCCATAAATGCTGCCCAAGAGGTATCTCTATTATTCCCTATCTGCAGATGAGGATCTAAGGGCCCAGAAAGGTCAAGCCAACACACAAGACTGCACAGCTAGTAAGAGGCCGAACTGTGACAAACCCAGGTTATTCAAGCCCTTGCTATTAATATTTTTGAGTTTCAAGTCAACCTTTCAGGAAGGCTTTGGAATAAGAAATCTTGCTTGCCACTCACAGCAGAAGCAATGGGTAGGGTGTTCTCGATCTCTTGACCTCATGATCCACCCGCCTCGGCCTCCCAAAGTGCTGGGATTACAGACGTGAGCCACCATGCCTGGTCATGGGTAGGGTGTTCTCTAAGCTGCCCTGCATGTTCCGGTGAGTTACAGATGGTGCAAACAGGAACATTTTTCTTGTTCTCTTAAGAACATCTGAGTTTACTGAAACAAGTGGCAATGCCTGCCCTGTGGCAGTGACTTTCAAACCAAAACCCAAGCTCATAAATATCCAGGGCATGTAACTGGCAGTTGTGCTGTACCGGGGCATGGAGCAGGAGGCCAGCTGTTGGCTAGCTGTTTGTCACTAGGTCCTGTGGGAGGGCTCTCGGCCTCTGTGGAGCCTTGAGATTACAGTCCATTCTGTACTGACGGGGAGAAATCTCTTGGCTCTGGGGGAGAGATGCAAGCTGTGAGACCCCAGCCTGCCTGTGTGTGGGCAGAGTCTGCCCTCTGGGTCTCCTGCTGCCAACCCCACCCTTCTGCCACCACTGCCCTTAGTCAATTCATAGCCAGGAAATACTAGGAGAGTAAAGGTAGAGAGGTAGCTCCAAAGGAATGAGAGAGAGAAACAGTTAAGGAACTCATGGTTTGCATCAATCCAATATGATGCCTTCGTGCAAATCAGAAAAAGTGCCTCTCCGCAATATGCTTTTCTGTCATCTGCCAGAATGTTGTCATAATGCAGATACAAATCTTCCATCATTATGATCCAAATGGCACTCCCTAGTGCTGTGCAGTGCACACCCTGTGTCCCTGAAGGAGCCTTGGCTTCCTCTGCTGGGCGCAGAGCTTAAATGCCTCTACCTTCCTCCTCTTCATCCCCTACTTGCAAATCTCTCCATTTCTCCAAGTTGGTAAGGAAGGATATCTGTCCTGCAATGCAGTAAGCACAATGCAAATGGTCTCCTAAGCTTCCCGAAACCTGCCCCCCACAAAAGGGAACAGAGCAATTCGTCTGACAAAGGATTTTTTTCTTTTTGCCACTCCCCAGTATCGGCGCAGTCAGAAGAAAACAGTTTGGATGCCAAAGTGTTGGAATCTCCAATATTTTCAAAAGTTTGGGAAGATAATGGCCCAGGAAATGCAGGCCCTGACATGGTGGTGTTTGTGAGACCAGGGAGGGCGAGTGAGAAAGGAGTTTCACGATGTTCTGGGAGAGGCAGAGACAGCAATAATGCCTATCCTAGAGTTCGGCTTCTTCTGCAGGGATTTGTGTCCCTCACTCCTTACAGCTGGTCTTCTCGCAGGTCTGCTGTTTCTAGGAGTGACTATGAATCTGCATCTAAGGACTTTCTCCCTAATGACTTGGAGGTCCAGGTTCCTGGAAGAGTCTTTTTGGTCACCAGAGGAAACAGCAGCATTGGCAAAGCAACTGCCCTTGAAATAGCCAAGCGAGGTGAGCAGCTGCTAACATGTGTCCACTGAGCCCCACGGCCAGACTGTGGCCGGTTCACCACTGTGTCACAGGCAGGTCAGGAAGTCCTGGATGGCAATCCCATGGTTCTGGGCACAGGTGTCAGCTTTCTGAGCCTCAAGCTAGAGGTGGCGAGAGCAACAGGAGGCCTTTCCTCAACAATTAATTCACGGGAGAGCTCGGGTTTTGCGCACGTGTACCAGTGTTTTCTGATTAAGAGCAGTGAGGGGCTGAAGCAAACCCTGAACATCAGAATCCCCCGTGGAATTTAATTTTTAAAAAAAATGAACACCTGGTCTCTAACTCATGTCTTCTCAGTGAGACTCCCTGGAGATGGGGAAAGGGGAGGGGGAGCCTGGGAGTCCACCACTATTTGGATGTGGACGGTAGTTATGAACCAATGCCCCCAAAATACCTGGAGAGAGGAGTGTGTGGAACTAACTTCCTTCTTTTTGCTTCCCTCCCCTAACCTTGACAATAAAGAGGCACCGCAGATGCCTGTGAAGTCTTCAGTCAGCAGAAGTCTTCCTCATGGGTGAATGCCAGAATTTCCTGCATGAGCTCAACTATCCTGGGTCACCAGTTGGCTCTGCAGTGGCTAGAAAATTTTCCTGCATCTCTCCAGAGCCTCTTCTGGAAAAATGGATGTTCCAGCAGAAGGTGGGGAACTAGGTTGTGAATTTATCACTTTTTAAGATGCTGAAGATGTTTTCTTTTTTTCCTCTCTCTAAATCCAAGTTAGGCATTTTTCAGGGGACTTTTATGTCATTTGAAGCTTTATTTCATTATCTGCCAAGTCAGGGAGAGGATTAAGTGCATCTTAGCAGCTGGGAAGCACTCTGAAGTGTGGAGAGGAAGGGAGAGGACAGGGGCTAGTGGTATGGTTAGCCTGTAGCCTCCAGTGAAACAGACCCCATTTAATCAAGTGGGTGATTTTTAGAAGAGAAAGCAGACTCCGTAATGATTCCTTAGCTGCCGCGACGAAGACGTTCTGCTTTAAGTTGACCTTGATTGATGATGGTGTGGCATTTGCTGGGATATGAGCGCTGCTCAGTCTATACTTGAGTCTCTACTACATGCTAGGCCAGTGGTTCTCTGCTTTGCCTGAACATTATATCACCAGGGAGCCTGTAAAACACACTCAGGCCTGGATCTTTAAAAGCTCCCTAGGTGAGTCTAAAGTGCAGCCAGGTTTGAGATCTCCGTGCCAGCTGCCATGCTAGATGTTAGGGAGGCAGATGCGACCTGGATCAATGTTTCTTATACTTGATGTGTTCAGGCTCTTAAAAAATCAGGATGTTCTCCCAGAAGCACTGTCGGCCCAGATAGGCAAGAAGGTTCCAGTACCTCCCTCACGATCGCCTTCACTGCTCTAACTGTGGGGACCACCCATCTAGGTTTAACAGAAGGGTGTCAGTTTCAGGTATTCTTTTTGTGAGCCCATATGTCTTTATTTTTCATTTGGAGGAGCTGGTTTCTGTAGCTCTCGCTGTAACTCACAAATGTTTTCACTGAATTCCACCAGGTGGCACAGTTCACCTGGTTTGTCGAGATCAAGCCCGAGCAGAAGATGCCAGGAGTGAGATCATCCGGGGAACGGTAACCAGGTGAGCAGCTCTTCACCCCTCCTGCTGGGTTTTCTTGCCTCCATGGTCAGCTGTGAGCAGGCTGCACTCCTGCCCACGTTCCCTGGGTTGGCGACGGCCTGTGTTTGTGCTTCTGCTTTGGAAGCAGCCTCACCCCGCAGAGAGCTGGGCCCTGCTTTTGAATGGCTAGGTTTGACCAGGAGATAAGTGGGACGCTCAGGCTCAACTGCACGGCTCTGGGCTGCCTGTGAAACCAGCAGAGGCCAGCAGGCAGGGGCCCGTTATGCTGGACAATGATAGTGCCAGGCTTCTTACCAGCCACATCAGCAAGGGTCACCTGGGTGCCGCAGAGCCCTGCATTGACCCTGTGCCTTCTAATAAGGAGAAACCGCCGACAGCATTTGGGTCCTGATGAGAGCTACTTTCCGACACGAGCTTTCAGAGCTGCCTCACATTTTGTGGTCTTTCTCTTCTGAGAGAGCGGGAACCAGGACTGGCTCGTGGGGCTCGGTGCAAAATGAAAATGCAAGACGCTTGTGTAAAAGTTATTTAGGAATTTCAACACAATAGAGGCAGAACTTTAAACCAAGCTTGAGGCCTGATTGCAGGGCCTGTGCATCTGTATGGATCATGTTCCCATGATACATTGTGCAGCCATGAGGCTGGCCCTGGATGGAAAACCCTGACCCCTGCCACCAAGTGGAGAGAAAGGACCCTCAGTCACCATGGCTGCTCGCTCACTGTCACCAAAGAACATCCTCATTCCATTCCCATCTCTTCCCTAGGAGACCCCACAGTTGGAGGGCCTGTGGAAGAGGAGCTGGGGAGGGACAGACAGTACCCCCACTCAGGCATGGACCTTGGCCAAAAAGCAGAATGTCCCCATCTAGGAAGGAATATTTTGCATCAACTTTGAAATAACATTTTCACACTAAGTGTCTGTTTCTTTCCCCTATGCGTGGAAATCCCCAGTCTCATGCCATCAGGTGCCTACCAGAGACTTCGTGCTGGCTGTGAGCGTGAGGGTCTCTAAATCTCCCTCTAATGTCTGCAAGTGCCACTGCGATCCGCGGGCTGCAGTTCTTGAGATTGAAAGCTGGCTGGCTGCCTGCTGATAACTTTCAGTGGTGCTGCTGCCGGATGCAACAAGAATACTAATCTCAGGCCGCCGGCAGGAGGAGGTTTGCCTGGATTCCTGCCTGCTCTGGTGTGGGCCACAGGCTTTAAAAAGTGTATTTAAATGGAAAATGATGATAGTATGGATCTGTTTGTAATATCCAGCCAGGCTTATAACCAATGCCACCATCTTTAGGAGGGGAAGAGAGCTGAAAAGGGAAGCGAGCATGTTCCTGGACTGGGGAGGAAACCGGCCCTTGCCTACTGCCCCTGTCACCTCCATGCAGATGCACTCAGTGGGATTTGAATGCACACGCAGACAGTCACTGCTCTCTTGGGTTTATAAGTGGCCTCCAGCTCCATCCTCCAGGTGGAGCCTGCAGGATGAGGGTCCCAGTCTGCCTATGCAAGTGCCTGTGGCTTCTTTGACTCAGTGTGTCCTCCAAGCCCTGCCAGGGATCAGCTGCCCCTCCCTGCTTATGAAGAGGCCCCACTCCACAGCCTCATCTGGTCTACCATTGGTAGGCAGCCCCCACACAAAATCATGGTATACAGGAGGAAGTTGGGCTCTGATAGGAGTCTTGGTTTTGCCCTTCCTGGCCTGTGAGCTCAGGCAATGTTCTTAGCTTCCCAGAACCTTCCTTTCCTCATTGAAAAACAGGGGTAACGACTTTATTGGTTTTTTAATGTGTATTTAAGGGTGAATTATATGCCAAGCAGCATGCTGGGAACTGGAGACACAGGTGATTGGGACAGACACAGCCCCTGACAGTCTTATGCAGGATAAAAGCGATTAACAAGCAGTTTCTTTGAATTGTGTGCCTGTCCTGGGCCTGGCCACTGTGCTGTGTATCACAGCCCAAGTGGGTTGGGGGACAAATCATGTGAACCTCAAGTTACATGTTTCTTCACCTCCTGCAGCCAGACAGCTTTTGGCTGGGTTTGACCAATGGCAGGAATTAGAGGAAGATTGGCAGGTGGAAGGAAGGTGGGGAATTGAGATATTGGCTTCCCCAGTGACAGCTGAATCTCCTCTCTGGTTCTTCCTTCTGGTTCCTGGGCTCAGGCCACACTGCATTCCCCTTTGTTCCTTGAGCCTAGGGCTGGTGATAATATGCTGCTATTACTAATCTCTGGGTTACTCCACCAATCCTGGTTGAGTTCTCATCTTCCTTAATCACCTGGGAAGTTAATCCCTGCATTCAATTCCCTCTCTTGAAAGAGGTGTCTGTTAGACATTACTGAAATAACAAAGGGCTACAAGATGGGAAGCTCAGGGTGTCCTAAGAATAAACAGCTCTCAGTCAATAGAAGCAGCTACTATAATTATTGTTGGTATTATCAGTATTGTGTATACTAATATTATTACCACTCCCAACCTTTCATTCCATGCTTCAGCTTTCTTCTGTTGACTCAGTGCTTGGGCCTTGCTCAGTGGGAGGTGGAAGCCTGCAGGCCCCCAGAAGCAGAAATGTGTGGTAGAGCAGTGAGGGCCCTGGAGCAGCTGCTCCTGCCTGCATGGTTGGGTGAACATCAAAGAAAGAGGATCCCTCAGGCAGGAGGGTCTGGGTGAGGTGTGCAGCAGACCCGCTGAGCCAGGGAGTGCAGGCGCCAGGTAAGACTCAGTGTCACGAGGGAATCTCGGCTGCTTGTGCATGCTAGCTTGGTAAGATCAGGCGTTTGGTCTTATAGAGAGGTGAATATCATGCCGAGGTGATCTTTGCAGAGAGGTTATGTGTGGCCTAAGTTTGGGGAAAGGAGTGCTGGTTACTGTAGAGCAGCCTCCCCGCTCACCAGTCCACTGGACACGATCCTCCCAAAGGGCCTGGGGGAGAAACAGCGTGGATGTTTCTCCCCAGGCTTCTGGTCGCAGTTCAGCCCCACCTTACTTCCTGGCTCCAGACTTTTGTCTAGCAGTTACCCCCATGGGCAACATTTAAAAAAAATAGTTGTATTTTATTTATTATTTTTTGAGATAGGCTCTTATTCTGTTGCCCAGGCTGGAGTGCAGTGGTGTGTTCATAGCTTGCTGTAGCCTCAAACTTCTGGACTCCAAGCTTGTCCTGCCTCGGCCTCCCAGATAGGTAGGACTGTAGGCACATGCCACCACACCCAGCTGGTTTTACTTTCTTTTTCTGTAGAGATGAGGTATCACTATGTTGCCCAGGCTGGTCTTGAACTCCTGAGTTCAAAGAGTCCCCCCACCTCTGCCTCCCAAAGTGCTGGCATTACAAGTGTGAGCTGCCACACTTGGCCAACCTTTTAATTTTAGAATAGTTTTAGATGCACAGAAAACCTGTGAAAATAGTACAGAGCTTCCCATTTGTCCCCAGCCAGTTTATTCTTTGTTAACATCCTGCATGAGTGTGGTTCATTTGCCACATCTACTAAACCAACATTTATGCAATATTAAAATCAGTCGACTTCATACTTTGAGATTTCCTGAGTTTTCTCCCTAATTTTCTGTTTTTATTTCCGGATCCCACAGGACATTACATGTCTCTTTAGGCTCCTCTTGGCCGTGACAGTTTCTCACACTTCCCAGTTTTTAATGACTGCAGTTTTGAGGAGTACTGGTCAGGTGTTTGTAGAATGCCCCTCATTTGGGATTTGTCTGATGTCTTTCTCATGATTACACTGGAGTCATGGGTTTTAGAAGGAAGGATCACAGAGGTACAGGTGCCTGGGTGACGTTTTTGGTCCTGCAGGCCTCCTGGTGTGGCTGGAAGGTTCTGTGAAAGCGCTTAGGTCTTGTGGGGGATTGACTCCACCAACATAACACGCCGTGATAAAAAACGGGTTTCTACTCTCCAGGTCCTCCAGGCCAGTGCAGATTTCTAGCTTCTTGAGAATGACTGGTTTGGCTTTCCAAGACCTCAGTGTTTTTATGAAATCCTGCCTCATTTCCCCAGAATGATTTCTACTTGACAAAGCACCTCCATGCACGGTTTACCATGTTCGTTGTGGGAACTGCTCTGACAGGGGGTCAGTCCCCATGATGTCACCTCATGACTCCTGGGTCACACAGCCACTGTGGATGGTGGCTCATCTGCAGAGAGGATCCCAGTTGAGTTTTATTTTGTTCAATTTCAGTAACCACACTTGTATCATAGTTGGGGCCCAGTGGCTCCTAGGGTTAGCCTTCTCAGTGTGTGGCTCTGCAGATTGGGACTTTTAAACACATGCACTAGTTCCCAGTTCCATTCCTTCTCCTGGCCACAGCAGTCTGCTGGCCTCGCCCTCTGTGTGCTTTGTGGCCTCCTGTTTCACCTCAGAGGAACACAGATGGTTTCCTTCCTCTTTTCATGGTGCTTCGTGTCACCAGCTCCATGGCTGATTTGTCTGGGACAGTGTGATTCTCTCTTCCCTGCTGCAATCTCCTTTTCACTCTGAGACTTCTCAGCCACTTCCAGGAAGCTCAGAGAACTTGTGGAATGTTTAAAGCAGAATTGGTTTTAGTTCCCTTGAATTTTGTTGCTGTTTAAACCTGGATTTTGTATGCATGTTACACAGCACTTTTTGGTAGGAGGGAGTTTAGGGTGGTTGCAGAGAAGGCCTCAACATGGTAGGATTAGGTGTCTAGACTCAGTTTGCAGTGATTGGTACAGGCTCCCGGCTGACTCAGGTATGACTCAGCAGCCTTGTTCACTCTGGCTGGGTAAGGGCCTTCACAGACATTTTGAAAGAGAATAGTTCTGTATGGACAACATCTTCCCTGTCCTTTGAAGGCAGAGGAATATTCAGTTGGGCCGGGCTTAAGCCAAATATGGTGTTCAACCTGACCAGACTTCTGAGTCATGAAAATGTGGAGTTGCTTCTGTTTTCTCATTTGTCTCAGGTGAGAAAACAATGTGTTTGAAGATCAGTAGAAAGAAATTCTGACTACAGCTTTGGGTTTTATAGCTCGATTAGTGGGGAAACTGAGGAGCTGTGGCTCTTGCTCAGATCCTTGTCTGTAGGTTCACTTGGGTGCCTGCAGCAGCAGGAGTCTCTGCCTTGGGTTAGTGATAAGTCACATATGTCCACTGATACTCAGAGAGGATGCCATTGCATTCACTGGATGCTAACAGTGCAAGTTTGGACTTAGGTTCTGGGTACAGAGAAAAAGGTTTAGACAGCCAAGGTCCATTGGTCAAATACCATGCATATGATTCTGTGTAATACCACAAGGAGCAAGGGCGCATTAGACGGAGTTCTAAGTCTCCTGGAGAGGCGGCTGTGTCTAGTGGTAACCATGATACAAAGCAGAGATTGAAAAGCATTGTGAGCAAGGACTAAGGGTCACAGCAGAAGTTGTCCTCTTATTTATGATGTGCCTAAGGTACTGTCTTAAGAGCAAAGTTCTGACAAAAAATGATCGGCAGCAAGAAACTGACATATCCATGTAAAAGTATGTTATGTAGTCATTAAAAGGAATAGGTATATTCATGTATAACAAAATTATCTCCACGACCTTTTGTAAGTCCTGCAACTCAGTAGCAAAACAAACAACAACATAACTAATAAACTGATTTGAAAAGGTCTAAGGACTTGAATAGACATTTCTCCAAAGAAGATATACAAATGGCCAACACGAGCTGGGCAAGGTGACTCATGCCTGTAATCTCAGCACTTTGGGAGACCGAGGCAGGCAGATCACTTGAGGTCAGGAGTTGAAATTAGCCTGGCCAACATGGTGCAACCCTGTTTCTCCTAAAAATATAAAAATTAGCCGAGCATGGTGGCACACACCTCTAGTCCCAGCTACTCGGGAGGCTGAGGCAGGAGAATCGCTTGAACCTGGGAGGCAGAGAGGTTGCAGTGAGCCAAAATCATGCCACTGCACTCCAGCCCGGGCAACAGAGTGAGAATCCATCTCAAGGAACAAAACAATAAATGGCCAACACATACATGAAAAAATACTCAATGTCAGTAGTCATCAGGGAAATGCAAATCAAAACCAGGTGAAATATCACCTCACACCTCTCAGGATGGCTACTGTTAAAAAAACAAAAGACAAAAAGTGTTTGTGAGGTTGTGGAGAAATTGGAACCCATGCACACCGATTGTAGGAATGCAAACTGGTGCATCCAGGATGGAAAACAGTACGGAGGGTCCTCCCAGAATTCAAAAGAGAGCTACCATCTGACCCAGCAATTGCTTTTCTGGGTACTTATCCAAGGGAATTGAAAGCAGGATCCTGAAGAGCCATTAGCACTGCCACACCCGTTGCAGCATTATTCACAATAGCCAAGATGTGGAAACAACGTAAATGTCCATTGACAGATGAATGAATAAAGAAAATGTGGTACAGACATACACACAGTGGAATATCGTTCAGCCTTAAAAGGAGAGAAACCCTGCGATGACATGGATGAATCTGGAGGACCCAACCTAAGTTACATAAGCCAGGCACAGAAAGACAGAGACTGTCTGACTTCACTTATGTGAGGTAACTGTAGTACTCCGAATTCATAGAACCAAAGAGTGGAATGGTGGTTCTAGGGGCTGGGGCAACGGGAAAATGTGGAGTCACTATCAGAGGGCACAAAGTGTGAGTTAGGCAAGGTGAATACACTCTAGAGGTGTGCTGTGCAACATCTACCTAGTCGGCATGCGAGAAATTTTGTTAAGAGGGTAGATCTCATATTAAGTATTCTTATCATAATAAAATTTAAAAAGCAGGGCACAGTGGCTCACACCTGTAATCCCAGCACTTTGGGAGAGCGAGGCTGGTGAATCACGAGGTCAGGAGTTCGACAGAAGCATGGCCAACATGGTGAAACCTCATCTGTACTAAAAATACAAAAATTAGTTGGGCATGTGCCTGTAATTCCAGCTTCTTGGGAGGCTGAGGCAGGAGAATCACTTGAGCTCAGGAGGCAGAGATTGCAGTGAGCCGAGATCATGTTGCACTCTAGCCTAGGTGACAGAGCAAGACTCCATCTTGGAAAAAGAAAAAAAAGTAAAATGTGTTTTTACTGCCGTAAACTAAAAGACATACTATGTGAAAGAGATAGATGTAGAACAATGCATAGTCTGATCCTATTTGTGTGTGTGTGTGTGTGTGTGTGTGTGTGTGTGTTCATCTTAAAAAATATACATTGTATATATAGTGTATGCTTAAAATATTTCTGGATGATTCACAAAAAACTGTGAACAATGGTTTATTTTTGAGGAGTGGGACTGGTATTTTCCATTTTATATCATTTCAAAGTATTTGCTTTTTAAAAATCATGTACTTTTTAAAGTAAAAGTGCTAGTTCATATCTTTTTAAAAAGGGTTTATATATTTTTTCGCTTTCTAATTTGGAACATTTTTCTGCACATTGTGGACTTGTCTGATCCCAAGCAAATTTGGAAATTTGTTGAAAAATTCAAGCAAGAACATAAACTCAATGTCCTGGTGAGCTTTGTAAACAAAAGTGGAGAATAAACTTCTGTTGGCACATTTTTTTAGTCTGTGTGGATGTGGACGAATATGTATGTTTGCGTGTCTTTATGGAAGAATCTTAGTAAGACTCTTATGCTTGGGCCTGTTCATGTAATCAGATTTACTCATTGGATTTGAGAGGAGACCCATGTAGTTAGATTAGTGGGGAAAGGAAGGGGACATCCACTGGGTAGGTATTGTGGGGGGATAGATATGTTCCGTTTTTTATAAAATTTGTATATAAATATTTCTTGGTTCTGTAGATTTGGGGATTGCTGTATTGAAATTAGAAGTTCTTTTAGTCCAAAAGAATACTGACTGCCGGCAAGCAAAGTTTTTAGTAACATAATTACCACAAAACTCCATGGGGACCCTGGGTGGACTCAGAAAGGTGCCAGTGTGCTCTTCCCAGATGCTCTGCTTTGAGCTAAGTTGCTTTTCTGTCCAAAGAGTCTCCGATGTGCTCTAAAATGTTGTCCCAGGGTCTGGAATTGTGCTCTCCAGTGTGAAGTATCTGAAATGTCGCTAGTCCAAACTGAGATGTGCTGTAAGTATAAAAACTAGCAGGTTTCAAAGACTTAAAAAAAACTAGGCATTCCATCTCATTAATATTCTGTATGGATTACATGTTAAAATGATGCTATTTTGGATATATTTTGTTAAATATATTAAATTAGTTTTACCTGTTTCTTGATACCTTTTTAATGTGGCTACTAGAAAACTGAAGATTAGACACTTTGATTGGACAGTTGTGGACCAGATGAATTTCCGGAGCACTCTCTCATGAATTAGGTGGCCTGGCCAAGCCCTCCCACTCAGCGATCTTTGCATAGTTCTGTGGCTGGGTCCTCTGTGCAAGTGGTATTTTCCTGTAAGGGGTTTGGAATGAAGAATGAGTTGAGCAAATTGTCATTGTCGCTTGAATGTTGAGAAAGAGCTGGGGTGGGGTAGTGGAGGTGTGGGGATGGAAATAGTTCTTTTGGCCCTATTTTTCTTTATTTTGAAATAGGAACTATAATTTTTAGATCAATAATGCAGGTTGCATGATCGATAAAAGAGAACTCACAGAAGACGGACTTGAAAAAAACTTCGCTACCAGTACTCTGGGTAAGTACAAGAAGTTTTCTTATTTGTTTTTAGGAAAATAAACATAGAATGTACCGTAGAAGGATAAAAAAGGAAAAAAAACAACAACAACATTGACCAGCTTTTTGGGTTCTGGGTCCTGGGCCTGATGGCATTTGCTTTAAGTTTATCCTGAATCGTATTTATTTTTCTTCATAAAACACTTTCTCTTTTCATGTTTCTTATAATGGGTGTTAGTGCCAGAAATACTTAGTATTAAAGTGTTTCTTTTTTAGGAAGCTTAATGCTCTTTATAGATACTATTTTGAAGAGGAGAGCAAGTTCAGCTTAAGTGTTGAGTACAAATATAAAAACTACAGCCGAGGGAACTTCCAGCCGGGGCTGAGGAAGCTGCATCCAATGGGCAAGAAGATGGACTGAGAAGGGTGGTGGCTAGAGCACAGGATACCTGGGCCCTGGTTGCTCCTCTGTAATAACAGAGTGAAGTCATTTTATACCAGGCCAGTGGCTCTCAAAGTCGGATTCCCAGACCAGCAGCATCAGCATCATCTGGGAACTAGGTAGACAGGCACATTCTTAGATTCCCACCCAGATCTACAGAATCTGAAACTCTGGAATGAGGCTAAGAGTTTAAATCCATTTTGACAGGCCTTCTGGATGATTCTGATGCACACTAAAAATTGATAACTGATGTATCATGCTTTTAGTCTCCTTGAGCCAAGGGGTCTGGAGTAGATTGTCTTCCTGCCTTTCAGTTTTGAGATGCAGTGAATCTAAGACTCTTCCCAGGACCTATCCTACTTTGTAATGAGGGAGGTGTTTTAATTAAGTATTGTTCTGGGCCACAAGATGGATGGCAGGGCTTTGGGTGGTTGTTGGAGTCACTGAGGTTATCCACTATATAGCAACCCTGTTCCCAACCAAGAACTGAGCAAACTGAGGAGTAAGCCGATGAATAACAGTTGAAAGCCAGTATATCACGTTGTTGCTGACAAGGCTGGTTGAAAGGCATGGCTCAGTGCAAGAGCCAGATGGGTTTCCTCATATGGAACCCAAGAATTAGAAGGATTCACCTACCTGGTCACCTGCTCTTCTTTCTGGGGAAGAAGAGCAGGACTCCTCCCAGAAAGAGCAGAAAGGGAGGAAAAGAACTGAGCAAGCCCCGCACATTGTCCCCAGATTTACTGTTTTTGTTGTTGTTATTTTGAGTCACGATCTTGGTGTGTTTCCGTGGCTAGAGTGCAGTGATGTGATCATGGCTCATTGCAGCCTTGAACTCCTGGGCTCAAGCAGTCCTCCCACCTCAGCCTCCCAAGTCCCTAGGACTACAGGCATGTACCACCATGCCTAATTTTTTTAATTAAAAATTTTTGTTGTTGTTGTGGAGGTGGGCTCTCACTGTGTTGCCCAGGCTGGTCTCAAACTTCTGGCCTCTAGTGATCCTCCTGCCTCAGCCTCCCAAAGTGTTGGGATTATAGGTGTGAGTCAGTGCTCCCAGCCTAAATTTACTGTTGAAATGTGCTCCACCTCCCTGGCAGATGGAAGAACATCCCAGGGAGAAAGGACTCACCCTAATTGCACTCTCTTTTCAAGGAAAGAAAGGCTAGGAGTGGGAAGACGCTTTCTCCCCGGTGATGAGGTTGCCTTTTTAAAAAGAAATACCTGGAAGCTTGTATGAAATGACAAGGTTTAGTACAAAATATTTTCATCGCTGACTTTGTTCCAAATGTGGTATGCTTGCCGAAATTACCAAAAATACCAAAATGTGGGGTCATGCTAGAGTTTGGCTCACAACTTGATGGGACAGCTGAGACTCCCAGAGTGCCACAGCTGGCCCCTGAGGCACTATTTGGCAGAACTGGTTACATAATTTGCAGAGCCCAGCACCAAATGGAAATGTGAGGCTCCATGTTCAAAAATTAAGGATTTCAGTGCAGTGACAACAGAGCATTAAACCAGGTGCAGCGTCTTTCCGAGTGCTGGGCTTTGTGTGACCTCGCAGGATGAAGCCAGCTCTTTCGCTCACCCATCCGCCTACCATCTGAGACAATTCTGCCAAGTGTTTACCGCCGGGGCATGTGTGCGTGCGCGCAGCTCACACTCAGTCTCTCTCGCTCGCTCGCTCTCTCTTCTCTCTCTCTCTTCATTTAGTGCGATGATGGAGATATTCCTACATTACAGATAAGGAAACTGAGGCTGAGAGAGATTGTTTCACTTGCCCAAGGTCAATTGGAGAAGCCAGAATGTGAACCTCGGTCTGACTTCCTCCACAGCCCATGTTCATCACAGCGCACAGTTCCACCCACCCCAGCATGTCCTCCCTCACCCCATCGTTGTGTTATCCTAAATAAGTGCTAAAGAGTACTGGGAGTGGGTGACCAGCTGAGCCAGGGGAGGCTGGGGCTGGGAGCACCTCTCAGAGAAGCCCAAAGGTTTTGGAAGGTGAAAACGAGGGTAATCTGAGGAACCTGACCTTGCTTGGGAATATAGACAGGCTTGATAGACTGTAAAGGGACTGTCTGTCTGATTATGCAGCTGATTATGTTGCACCTTTGTAAGGATCCAGCCTGTGTCTAAAGACCTTGCTATCTCTCCATTTTCATTTCCTATTTGTGTTAGAAGCATCTTATTGATCATTCCAACCTCTCTGAGAAGCGTAATAATTCTCAGGCTTGGATATTTACTCATCTTCTCTCAAGTGAAAGAAATAATACAATACACAAAGAGGCATGCCAGCACAGAGGGGCAGCTCCATGGGTCTTTGCTTGAGAGACGAGGAGATCCAGAGAGGTTAAAGTGCCATGATTCCTCAGCAGAACCAGGCCAGACAAAAAACCCGGACCTCTGTCTGAGTCCTGGGAGATTGCTGGCTGCCTTTCTAATATGAAACATGTTTTCCTGGCCTGATTATGTAATGTGGGATAGGTTGTTTTCTATTTTCTAAGATTCATATGCAGCTGTCAGAAACATTTGCAATCTCCAGCCAAATACCAGAAGGTTCCTGATACTCTGAGGAGAGCATAAACCTCAGCATTTGCAGGATTTATCACCAGATCCTAAGGGTTTTGAAGCTGGTGGAATAGTTAAAAGCAAAATGCTTTCAGTGCCCATGCCTGCACACGGCTTTGTTGAGACATCACAGTGTATGAATTAGATAGTTTGGAAAGAATAATTCTTAATCTTTTGCAGGGTGGGTGGGGCCTGGAGAGGTTTTCATAGCTTATTCTGAGGGACAAAAGTGAGCTGCCCTGGGTAGGTTGGTGGGCAGATGAGCCACAGAGAGGGAGAGATGGCAGGAGACAGCTTCTGTTGGGTGACTGTTCTCACCCCTTTGTTTCAGGTCTCCTCCAGTCACATACGTTTTCCCTGTTAGCATTCAGTGGCATTAAGAGTCCATGAGGAGTGAAGACAGATTGGAGGGGGAGGATGGGGAGGCTGAGCTAAGTGCCCTGCTGGCAGCCTGGCACAGCCTAGCGTTAGCAGATTAAAACTCTCACCCGCATCTTAGCCTCTCTCACCACAGGACACAAGACGAGGACACTGATTCTATCTCTACCAGGACAGCTGCATCACCAATTAATTGACTGTGATAAACAGGCAGTGGTGCCTTAGCTCTTTGGCAGAAGGAGAGAAAGTTCACCTTAGGTCACTTTGGAAGGACATATGTCAGGAGACAGAGTGTTGTCTCTTGACATTCTGTTATCTGTTGCCCTCCTCAGGGGCACGTCCCAGTGCCTAGTGAGAGCTGCTGTTCAACGCGGGGACCCCAGATCCAGAGACGCCTTCATAACAACAGCACACACTGAGCACAGTCCACGTGTCCCGGGCTGCGCTGAAGGCTCTTCTTGGATGGTCTCATTCAGTCTCGTAACCATTTTACAGATTTTATAAATGAGGAAGCAGGCTCAGAGGTAGTCTGAAACCAGTTTGTGATTCGCTTCATAAACAAAGGACAACAAAATGGTGGTTGGGGCATTTTTAGTTTAGTGTTGTATCATTAGCTATTGCTACGAAACAACTCCAGAATCTCAGGGGCGCACAGTGATAAGCTTGCATTTTTGCTGACTCTTCTGCAGACTCACGGGGCAGGCTGATCTCAGCCGGGCTCAGCTGTGTGTCTCCAAGCTGCAGGTTTGGTGTGGAGTATGTGCCAAATGTCTTGTATCCTCCTTGACCAAGCTGTGCTCTCAGGGCAACAGCAGAGCCCAGCTGTGCAAGCAATTCCAAGCCTCTGCTTGCATCCCAGCCCCTGTGATTAACTGGGTATCAGTAGATATCCACTTAACCAATCCAGAAATCAGTAGATATCCAGTTAATCAAAGCAAACCATTTCACAGAGCCCCAAATCAAGCATCAGAGAAGTATGCTTCTCCCACAGAGGTGGCGAGGAGAGAATGAATATTGTTGAACAATAATCTGCCACAAGATTTTTTTTTTACATTCTAATTCTTTGAAAGTGGGTCATGTGAGTTTAATATGGTAACTATTTATTAATCAAAATACCGAGTGAACAAAGGCACCTTATTTGTTTCATACACTTTTTTTTTGAGATGGAGTCTCGCTCTGTTAAGCAGGCTGGAATGTACTGGCAGGATCTCAGCTCACTGCAACCTCCATCTCTTGGGTTCAAGCAATAAAGCAATTCTCCTGCCTCAGCCTCCTGAGAAAGCCAGGACTACAGGTGCACACCACCACACCCATCTAATTTTTTTACTTTTAGTAGAGACTGGGGTTGGCCACGCTGGTCTCAAACTCCTGACCTCAGGTGATTCACCTGCCTCAGCCTCCCAAATTGCTGGGATTACAGGTATGAGTCACCACACATGGCCTGTTCTGTAAACATTTATAAAGTGTCCATTTTATGCCAGATGTGTGGCCAGTTATAGGGATCGAGAAATGGAAGGGACTGCTGGCCTTGTGGGGGCATTAGACACATACACAATTTCAGTAATCATAGGGTAAAGTTCTTTTCATCCATGAAGGGAGATTGGTACGGAGACTCAGAGGAAAACAGAGAACAG